CCTGAGGGGAGGGGGGTTTGGGGGTGAAATGAGGTGATTTGGGGGCCAAAAAGTGGGGTCACCTCATGGGGGGGGGGCAAAAAAAGGGGGTTTTGGGGGGAAATGAGGGGATTTGGGGGCCAAAAAGGGGGGTTACCTTATGGAGGAGGGTGGAAAAGGAGGGAAGGCCTGAAAAAGGGATTTTGAGGTAAAATGAGGTGATTTGGGGGCCAAAAAGGGGGGTTACCTTATGGAGGAGGGTGGAAGAGGAGGGAAGGCCTGAAAAAGGGATTTTGAGGTAAAATGAGGTGATTTGGGGGCCAAAAAGCGGGGTTACCTTATGGGGGAAAAAAGGGGTGATTTTGGGGTAGAAAATTGGGGTCACTTCATGGGGAGGGGGTAAAAATGGAGGGAGGCCCAAACAAGGGGGTTTTGGGGTGAAATGAAGCCGAAAAGGGGATTCACCCCATGGGGAGGGGAAAAAACGGGGGTTTTGGGGTAAAATGAGGAGATTTTAGGGCTGAAAAGTGGGGTCACTTCATGGGGGGGCAAAAAAAGGGAGTTTTGAGGTGAAATGAGGAGATTTTGGGGCCGAAAATTGGGGTCATCTCATGGGAAGGGCAGGCCCCAAAAAAGGCAGGTTTTGAGGTGAAATGAGGTGATTTGGGGCTGAAAAATGGGGTTACCTCATGGGGGGGGGCAAAAAGGGAGGGGAAACCCCCCAAAAGGGGGTTTTTGGGGCAAAACAAGGTGATTTGGGGGCGAAAAATTGGGGTCGCCTCACAGGTGAGGAGGAAAAAGGGCAATAGGCCCAAAAATGGGGTTTTGGGGTAAAATGAGGCAATTTTGGGGCCGAAAATTGGGGTCATCCCCATGGGGGGGGTCAGGCCCCCCCAAAAAAGGGGATTTTGGGGTGAAATGAGGTGATTTTGGGGTGGAAAATTGGGGTCACCTCATGAGAAGGGGGGAGAAATGTGGGAAGGCCCAAAAAAGGTTTTTTTGGGGGTAAAAAGAGGCGATTTGGGGGCCAAATTTGGGGTCACCCTATCAGGGGGGTCAGACTCCTCAAAAAGGAGGTTTTTGGGGTGAACCAGGGCAAAAATTGGGGTTCAGCCCATGGGGGGGCAAAAAAAGAGGGGGGTGGGGCAAAATGAGGTGATTTTGGGGGCG